TATATAGGGTCTAGGGTTTGGGGATAGGGATCGCGCAGGGGTTTTATCTAGCTACCTAGGTATCTATGTATATCTAGGGATATATAGGGATATAAAGGGATGAGGGTTCAGGGGTTTAGGGTTGTGCTTGGAGTCTCTCTTGACTTCGTAGGTCTGCTTAGCAAAATGGATTTGGATTTAAGGTTTAGGGTTTAGGGAGTTATCGTGTTAGGGATACTGGGTAGCCTGATTGAGTCTAGGCTAAGGCTCGCAAAGGCAAAATTCCAGTGCTGGCACACTACAATCAAAGCCCTAAACCCCCCCCTACCCCTTAGATATCATCAACTTTAAGAATCCTGACTTTCCAGGCAGGCCCCGCCCAAACCAAAATCAAAACCTGAAGCTCTAATAGCCCCAAGATCCGAAACCTGATGCCCAAAACCCCAAACCCTGACACCCCAAACCCTCACCCCTGTAAGGGTGGTCCTTCAGCCTAAAGGTTTACGTTGGGTTTAGGGTATCTGAAAGGACCTTATGCCAAACCCTTCAAAAAATGCCGCCATGGTTACATCCTCGCTTACGTCGCTATCCGAGTGAAGCAGAGCACAATTCCTCCAACAGCAATCGTGCTTAAGAGGGGGTGGGTGGGGGGGTATGGAGGCATAGGGGCTATACGACCCTGAATATATATATATATATATATAGATGCATAGGTGTCCTGTTGAGATTATTTTCTGGATCCACTGCTCCACTTTGCTAAAGGTCGGATTAGGGCTTGGCGTCAAGCTTTGGGTTCTTGGTTTAGAGCCTTCAGGGATTCTAGAGTTCAGGGTTTAGGGTGCACGGCACAGGATCGCAATAGCTTGCCATGCTTCAGGTTAAGACCATGGACAATATCTATACCCTTGAGAAAGTTTCTGAAATCCACCGCAACAGGCTGAGAAGCCTTGTTGGTGGCCTATACTCCCAACCAAGACCCTAGACCTGAAACCCGATGGACATCTTCTAGGAATTCTGGTGTGCTGGGCTTGAGCTTTCAATGCTGCACATACGGGATAAGGTTTTGGACTTTGGATTTGGGCTTTAAATGTTTCCATAAGCTGCGGGCCCAAGTATGGACCCTAATTGCTCAAGTCCCTGTTATGGCTAAGTTGTGGAAACCCCTTGTGCAGGGTGAAGCATGGGCATCCCTCAATTCTACATCTAGATTTATTAGAATTTAGGGTTTCGAGTTATAGGCTTTAGGGTTTAGGGTTTAAGGTTTAGGGCTTAGGGTTCAGGGTTTGGTTTAGGCTTTCAGGTTTAGGGTTTAGGGGTCAGGATTTAGAGTTGGGCTTTGCATTCAGGATCACTGCTATTCCGGACTACCGAGTTGCAAAGAGGCAAATGTCGAGGCAATGGGTTTAGGGGTTTTGGCTTTAGGTTTTGGGGGTTTTGGGGTTTAGGGTTTAGGGTTTAGGGTTTTAGGGTTTAGGGGTTTAGGGGTGGAGGGTTTAGGCTCTGGGTTTTCACCGTCCGCGCTGTCTGCAACTGCCAATACCTCTGCCTTGAGCTTACAGAATTAGCCCATGTCGGACACGTTTGTTGTGATCACCACGTCCTGCCAAAAACAAGGGAGCTCCAGGTAAGCCAAACAATACTCAGCGGATTTTGGTAACCCCAACCCCCAAGATTCAGACCCTAGAACCATCATATGACTGTGATGAGGTCCTAATTTGCGGGGCCGGGGTTACCGAAACACCTTTATCAAACAATGACACCTGTGGCTTTCGCCTCCGCATCCTGAACTGAAGCCCTAAACTCCAAAGACTGCCCAGACCCAAATCCATAAACCGGAATCAAACTTTAGATGATGCACCATTCTACACACCTTGAACCGTAAATCCACTTCGCTAATTCTGAACAGTTCTGGTGGACTTGAACTAGTCACTCAAATCCGAAACCCCAGACTCCACTGCAAAAGGCAAGGTGCTCCAGGCAGCCGGAGACTATAGAATTGCTCAGGTCATCATCGCTGTTGTCGCAATTCACCTGCAAGAAATCCAGTCAAGGGAAGAGGCTTTAGGGTTGCAGTCGAATGAGCCGCGGAAGTAGCGGCTTTGCAGACGGGATCAGGGTGCTCAAAGCCATCTCCCACGACAAAGAAGAACACCTATGAACTCCCAACTCCAAACCGTAAACTCTGAACATTGCTCCAAACCCACCCCAACCCCACTTTCAAGTAGGAATTGTGGGAAGTTCAGCTGGCTTGCAATTGACAGCGGCTGAGGACTTGGGTCTACACACCTCCACACTAACATGGAACATCATGCAGCCACGGAAAGGGACAGCCGTCGGTAGAGGTGCCCTTTTCAAGTGCCAGTTGTTCAACATATCTGTCCCAAAAATTGTCATTCGTTAGGTGCACTTTTTGGCCAGGATCACCCTGTGAGGAAGTGTATTGTCAATGGTCACTCCTTGACAAGGCCCCTTTTAACAGCCCCAAACCATAAACTCTAATCCTCAAACCCTTAAACCAATATAAAACTATACATCCCTACATAACACCCATATGCCCCTTTAAGAGCGACTTTATCCTTTAAACCCTCTCAACAAACATGATGTTTTCCATGTTCTTTTCCTTTCCCCTACATGTCCCATTTAGGCGCCATCAGGTGTTGGGACCCTATGCTGTAAACCCCTTAGTTCAAGCCTCTTTTCGGCTGCTACACTGTAAGGCTAGGGTAGGGCCTGCACAATTCTATCGAAGGCTTTAGGATACTTTGTATACGGATTATGCTTTAGCGCAAAGGTACTCAAAATTGAAAGATTCTTGGGCAAGAATCTTGCTACTGTTGACAAGTCTGCAGGCTTACAAAACAAGCGCATCATGAAGGTGGGCCCTTGATCGTGGGATGACACACTCATCCTTGACCCTAAAGGATCAGCTCTGAACCATTAAACCTATGCCCTAAGTCCTAAAACCTTCAACCCTGCACCCTCTCTACGCATATGCCTCTACAGGGTTTGGGGTCCAAAAAAAGGCTTCATTCCAGGGTTCTAGGGTTCCAGGGTTTAGGGTTTGGGATTTAAGCTTTAGGGTTTGGGGTTCAGGGTTCAGGGTTTTTTTATGGGACCTTTTCTCCAAGGTTTAGGGCTTGGGGCTAAGGGTTCAAGGTTTAGGGTTTGGGGTTTGAGATTTTCGGGTTTAACAACCTTGCGCCAAGTATGGGGGATTCTAGGGGCTCATACGTAGGGTATGGAAAACACCAAGGTTAAGATATGAAGGCCGCCCCAAAATCCCTTCCCAAGTGAAGCTCCTCGTGAAGCACAAGAAGGGCTGGGCGAGGATCGCGCCACCAAATTCCTTCTATATAGCCCCCCATGCACAAAACCCTAAACCCTATTCAAGCCCATAAACCCCCTAAAGCCTGTGAAGCCTATAAACCCTATAAACCCTATAAAGCCTCAACCCTAAATCCTCTGGGGATGAGGCAGGGGCCCAAAAAAAACTCAAAGGCTTCCCATCGCACGAGCCTACACAGGGAAGACCCAAAATCCTTCAAAGCCACAACACAACCAATCAACGCTGTCTCTTGGACATACCATGTTCTCTGTTGAGTTACAACCAGGGCTCCTGTCAGGATTACCAGAATCCAGGACAACATCAAGGACTGAGCCGATCTGAACGCCTCTAAGTTTCTTGGACCCCTGGTTGAAATTATGTTTACAACTTCAGCTGGCTCTTAAAGTAGTAGAGAACAAACACTTCAAGGATTTTTGCCGGGAACTTGCAGATGCCCTCTCCAAACAACAGACAGCCTGATCTGGCACAATCTCGTTGCACTCCAAGCGCTCGTATTTGACTGATCTCGGTGTAGCGTTCAGATGCTAGGTTGTCAAAAGCATGCTTAGCTGAAGGACAGTTTCAACTCAATTCGGTAGACTTATCACTCCACTGGAATCACCCATGAACCTTCCGGTAGGGTTGAGGGCGCCCCTAAACCCTAAACTTCTAAACCCCAAACCCCCACAACTTAAATCCTAAAACTCTAAACTCTAAAGCTTCCTGAGGTTGGTAAGCTTTAGTTTTTGGAGGGCTTGTCTGAGTTTTGTATTCTGGGGCCCTAATAGGGGGATTCACGTTTTAGGGTTGTAATACCTATAATTTGCCCTGCTAAAACCCTATAATTAAACCCAATTAAAGGCCCTTAGCACCCAGCAAACAATTTTTGGGCCCTCATTTGGCCTCGGGGTTGCGGCCTGAGAGTTTAGGGTTGAGGGCTTAAGGTTTTAGCCTGAAACCCTAAGCCCCAAACTGTAAACCCCAAATCCAGGGGGCAGGGGACCGCCTTGGGTTAGACTTCACTTCGACTTTCGAGGCTTTGCACACGGTTAAGGTTTAGGGTTTAGGAGCTTAGGGACCATGAGTTGCATAACCTCCACCCCACGCACACTACCCCCCTAGGCTGCCCCTGGTCTAAGGTTATTTAGGGATGATTTAGGCTGATGAACGGGAGGGGCAACAGTATATGGGAGAAGTAGCGGAACCCATGATCGGCACACACCTTGATAAGGGCCTTGCCATCCTAAACATCTCGAAATTGCTTGTGCAAGACTTTCGAAATCCTCCTGGAAAAGCCCGCAACCTACAAGCCGGCTTTTAAGGCTTCATGGCATCCAACCATCTCCGAAGTCTACACCTAACCCTTGAACGCTTGAAGCCACGGGGGCTGGAGCAAAGCTTGCACCTCCCCATATACCTGTATGGTGGTTTCCTAAAATTAGGAGTACCTTTTTGGGGGGCCCATAACAAGGACTATAATACTTTGGCATCTATATTGGGTCCCCTTATTTTGGGAAACTACCATATACCTATGCCTATACCCCAACAAATTACAATGCTTTCTAGGTCCAAGTGGTGCAAGATGTCCTCCATCTACCTTAAGACTTCAACTCTGGCACTGTGAGGTCCCTAAGTACCCCTACTGGTCGCAATGAAATCCTGTATGACCCTGAGGCCCCACCGGTAGTATACTATAATACAGGGCCATACATTTTCCCTAACCCTATAGCCACAAACTTCATTTCGCAACGTGATTGCTGGGCCTCAAAAACGAGTGTGTCAGCCCGCCCTAAACCCAGGGGAGCCGGCCGTAAACAGTAAGCCCTAGACCCGTACACGCGTTGCTTAGAATTCCAAATCTTCACAAGAGATGCTACCTTTCCAAACTGGGATAGACGTAGGGCCCTGAAGAGATGTGTTCTTATGGCTTGATATTGAACATACAAAGATTGTAGTCCACAGCAATGAAAACGCATTCCCAGGAATACCCTTATCCCCTAAACTCTAAATAGTAGTTTCCATTTTATTTTCCATTATCCCAATATAACCCCAATATAATCCCCATATAATCAATCCCTATCGCTTCCATTTCATTTTCTATGTTATTTTCCATGTGATTCTCCATTACTGGGGGGGGGGTCCATTTTATTTTCCATTCTCCCTATATAACCCCAATATAACCCCAGGGGCTGAGGGCAACACGGCATCAGCTGACACCAGCCATTTGGGCTGGAACCCAGGCGTTGGAGCCAGAAGCTGCGCAAGAAAGGGCTTTAGGGTTAAGGGTTAATAAGAAGAATAGTAATATTAATCATGCTTTTCCAATCCGCTGCGTATCAAGCCAAACAATCTTGCATCCTTCGTTGCGGGCATGGCCGGGCGGCCATTTCCATCTGAGGGTGGGGATTCAGGGGTTCAGGGTTTAGGCTAAATAGTTACCCATATCATTTCAAGGTCTATCTGAGTCATCTTTTACCATGCTCATGTAAGGAATCTAGGACCAAAAAATTGAAAGTATGCAGGCTTCTACATAAGGCCTTGGGAGGCAAGGGTTTTGTGGACAAGGCTTCTGGGTGAAGGGCCTCATGGTTTAGGAATTCAGGGCTCCGAAATCCGGTATTCAGGGCTTAGGGTTTCGGGTTCAGGGTTGCATGGCTTGAGGCCTCGGCATTGCCTCGGGGTCTCAATGTCTGGGCAATTTGAGTTCTCGAATTCAGGGTTAGGACCGCCGGGCCCCGGGTTGAAGGATCGAGCCTCAAGAAAAAAAAATGGATTAGAAGACAGGGGCTCGCTAAACTTTAGTTTCCAGGGCTTTAGCTTACAGACCTGAGAGCTTCGGGATAAACAGAAATGGGATTATAGGTCCTCATGATTGGGCTGCACAATCATAACATATCTATCCTGCTTGTAACCCCACATGTGATTACCCATGGTCCTTCGCATGATCTTTCAGAATTCGAAATGCACATATCAAAAACTAGGCCATGACGGACAGTAGCCCTTGTAACACCACGAGAAAAATCTCTCGCTTTACATCCTGAAGCATCTTCTCAAGTTGTAAAAGCTATGCCCGAAACCCTAAACCCTAAACCAAGGGAGGCCCACCGTATGGCACGGCAGTACTAGAAGCACTGACGAAAATGTTGACAAATTCTTTTCTGTACCACTATGGCAGTTACCATGCATAGGGGAACCCCAATACAGACCGACCCGAAGCTATCATAATCCTCAACACCTCCACGCCTATGCTGTCTCTTTTCCAGCTTTAGCGTGTGCTTCGCGTCAGAGTGCAGAGTGTGCCTAAAGGAGTCAATCAATAGGCCTTCTTTGGACCCAGGAATCCCAACAGCCAACCGAACTTCGACAAGACGTACAACGCAAGGGATCTGCAAAGCCTGAGCTCGTTTTGGAGGAAGGAAACAAGGCTCTGACAGGTCCGCAGCCTTCAACTGCGTGCAGTCCACTCCCAGCCCAGGCAATTGGCAAACGGCGTGTCAGCTGCTTCAAAACTCAGACCAAGCGAGGTCTGGTCTGGCACGCCATGACCAAAGACCAGCATGGTCCGCTTGGCTAACAACACCTGCTCAACAGATCCAAGAAGGAAGGCACAGCCAGAGGAACATGTGGCTTTTTCAGAAAGACATATGCGAAAACCATTTACATTAGGAGGCT